GAGCCTACGGGCTCAGGAAACCCACGATAAAAAATGACCTTGTGTCGCATGCAACCCTCGTGGGGGGTGGCTAGATACTGAATCAAGCCGATCTTCTCGACTTGACGGTCGAACTCTCTGCTTTTGAGAGCAGAAAGGAACCCGGACGAGGTTCCGCCGAAGGGCAGAATCTCGTTCGGGGTGAATGACCTACCCTGATCTCGTTTTTACGAGTCATACGGGCATATTTTGGCTGAGCCTACGGGCTCAGGAAACCCACGATAAAAATGACCTTGTGTCGCATGCAACCCTCGTGGGGGGGTGGCTAGATACTGAATCAAGCCGATCTTTTCGACTTGACGCTCTGCGAAGAGTTTTTTTGAGCAGATAAAAGGAACCCGGACGAGGTTCCGCCGAAGAGCAGAATCTCGTTCGGGGTGAATGACTCACCCTGATCTCGTTTTTACGAGTCATACGGGCATATTTTTTGGCTGAGCCTACGGGCTCAGGAAACCCACGATAAAAATGACCTTGTGTCGCATGCAACCCTCGTGGGGGGTGGCTAGATACTGAATCAAGCCGATCTTTTTCGACTTGACGGTCGAACTCTCTGATTTTGAGCAGAAAGGAACCCGGACGAGGTTCCGCCGAAGGGCAGAATCTCGTTCGGGGTGAATGACCTACCCGATCTCGTTTTTACGAGATCATATTTTCGCTGAGCCTACGGGCTCAGGAAACCCACGATAAAAATGACCTTTTGTTTTACGAAGTCGATGACGGTCGAACTCTCTGCGGGAAGGGCAGAATCTTTTTGGCTGATCTCGTTTTTTACGGGCTCAGGAAACCCACGATAAAAAATGACCTTGTGTCGCATGCAACCCTCGTGGGGGTGGCTAGATACTGAATCAAGCGATGGGAATGACTCACCCTATCTCGTTCCGATCTTCTCGACTTGACGGTCGAACTCTCTGCTTTTAAGCAGAAAGGAACCCGGACGAGGTTCCGCCGAAGGGCAGAATCTCGTTCGGGGTGAATGACCCACCCTGATCTCGTTTTTACGAGTCATACGGGCATATTTTTGGCTGAGCCTACGGGCTCAGGAAACCCACGATAAAAATGACCTTGTGTCGCATGCAACCCTCGTGGGGGTGGCTAGATACTGAATCAAGCCGATCTTCTCGACTTGACGGTCGAACTCTCTGCTTTTAAGCAGAAAGGAACCCGGACGAGGTTCCGCCGAAGGGCAGAATCTCGTTCGGGGTGAATGACCTACCCTGATCTCGTTTTTACGAGTCATACGGGCATATTTTTGGCTGAGCCTACGGGCTCCAGAAACCCCCGATAAAAATGACCTTGTGTCGCATGCAACCCTCGTTGGGGGTGGCTAGATACTGAATCAAGCCGATCTTCTCGACTTGACGGTCAGACTCTCTGAACTCTGCTTTAAGCAGAAAGGAACCCGGACGAGGTTCCGCCGAAGGGCAGAATCTCGTTCGGGGTGAATGACCTACCCTATCTCGTTTTTACGAGTCATACGGGCATATTTTGGCTGAGCCTACGGGCTCAGGAAACCCACGATAAAAATGACCTTGTGTCGCATGCAACCCTCGTGGGGGGTGGCTAGATACTGAATCAAGCCGATCTTCTCGACTTGACGGTCGAACTCTCTGCTTTTAAGCAGAAAGGAACCCGGACGAGGTTCCGCCGAAGGGCAGAATCTCGTTCGGGGTGAATGATCTTTTCACCCTATCTCGTTTTTACGAGTCATACGGGCATATTTTTTTGGCTGAGCCTACGGGCTCAGGAAACCCACGATAAAAATGACCTTGTGTCGCATGCAACCCTCGTGGGGGTAGCTAGATACTGAATCAAGCCGATCTTCTCGACTTGACGGTCGAACTCTGCTTTTAAGCAGAAAGGAACCCGGACGAGGTTCCGCCGAAGGGCAGAAATCTCGTTCGTGGGGGGGTGAATGACCTACCCGATATCGTTTTTACGAGTCATACGGGGGCATATTTTTGGCTGAGCCTACGGGCTCAGGAAACCCACGATAAAAATGACCTTGTGTCGCATGCAACCCTCGTGGGGGTGGCTAGATACTGAATCAAGCCGATCTTCTCGACTTGACGGTCGAACTCTCTGCTTTTAAGCAGAAAAGGAACCCGGACGAGGTTCCGCCGAAGGGCAGAATCTCGTTCGGGGTGAATGACCTACCCTGATCTCGTTTTTACGAGTTATACGGGCATATTTTTGGCTGAGCCTACGGGCTCAGGAAACCCACGATAAAAATGACCTTGTGTCGCATGCAACCCTCGTGGGGGTGGCTAGATACTGAATCAAGCCGAGCTTCTCGACTTGACGGTCGAACTCTCTGCTTTTGAGCAGAAAGGAACCCGGACGAGGTTCTGCCGAAGGGCAGAATCTCGTTCGGGGTGAATGACCCTACCCTATCTCGTTTTTACGAGTTATACGGGCATATTTTTGGCTGAGCCTACGGGCTCAGGAAACCCACGATAAAAATGACCTTGTGTCGCATGCAACCCTCGTGGGGGTGGCTAGATACTGAATCAAGCCGAGCTTCTCGACTTGACGGTCGAACTCTCTGCTTTTGAGCAGAAAGGAACCCGGACGAGGTTCTGCCGAAGGGCAGAATCTCGTTCGGGGTGAATGACCTACCCTATCTCGTTTTTACGAGTTATACGGGCATATTTTTGGCTGAGCCTACGGGCGGTGGAAACCCACGATAAAAATGACCTTGTGTCGCATGCAACCCTCGTGGGGGTGGCTAGATACTGAATCAAGCCGAGCTTCTCGACTTGACGGTCGAACTCTCTGCTTTTGAGCAGAAAGGAACCCGGACGAGGTTCCGCCGAAGGGCAGAATCTCGTTCGGGGTGAAATCTCGACTTGACCTACCTACCCTATCTCGTTTTTACGAGTTATACGGGCATATTTTTGGCTGAGCCTACGGGCTCAGGAAACCCACGATAAAAATGACCTTGTGTCGCATGCAACCCTCGTGGGGGGGCTAGATACTGAATCAAGCCGAGCTTCTCGACTTGACGGTCGAACCCTCTGCTTTTGAGCAGAAAAGGAACCCGGACGAGGTTCCGCCGAAGGGCAGAATCTCGTTCGGGGAGAAATGACCAACCCGATCTCGTTTATACTGGTTATACGGGCATATTTTTTGGCTGAGCCTACGGGCTCGGAAACCCCGATAAAATCGGCTTGTGTCGCATGCAACCCTCGTGTGGGGGGGGGCTAGATACTGAATCAAGCCGAGCTTCTCGACTTGACGGTCGAACCCTCTGCTTTTGAGCAGAAAGGAACCCGGACGAGGTTCCGCCGAAGGGCAGAATCTCGTTCGGGGTGAATGACCTACCCTATCTCGTTTTTACGATATACGGGTTATACGGGCATATTTTTGGCTGAGCCTACGGGCTCGGGAAACCAACGATAAACTCGACCTTGTGCCACATGCAACCCTGGGGGGGGGCTAGATACCGAATCAAGCTGAGCTTCTCGGCTTGACGGTCGAACTCTCTGCTTCTGAGCAGAGAGGAACCCGGACGAGGCTCCGCCGAAGGGTAGAGCCTCTTTCGGGGAGGTTGACCAACCCGATCCCGTTTATACGGGTTCTATGGGAATTTTTTGGCCGAGCCTACGGGCTCGGGAAACCCACGTTAAACTGGGTTTTGTGCCACATGGGGGGTGGCTAGATACCGAATTGAGCCGAGATTCGAACTCTCTTTTATCTACCGTGAAACATTACAGATATTTATTTCTGTTCTTTACTGAAATTGTGGCATACTATGAAACATTACATACCAATTATTTGCGAATTTTGACTCAGCATTTCAGGAAGAAGGGTTTAAATTGTTCAGGAACGCATGGGTCAAAGGGTTAATCCTTTCTTCTCGCTTTTCTTCACTGCCTATTGTATGAACCTTTGTAGTTTCCTTTCTAAGAAGATAATAATTATGGCAGGATTCGTTTAGAGATATAATACGCCATTTATTTAAGTAAACAACGGCGTGGCTGTTGGTATTGTAGAAAGTATTCTTAGAATCATAAAATACAACAGCAGTTGTTAGATATTCCTTTCATACTTACTCCTTCTTCTATGTGTCGTATCACTTCAGAACGTTGGTGGCCATAGCCCTCCACAATTTCCTGTTCTTTTGTAGCTCATAATAAATTATGTCTTCTTGTTAACTCTCCTAAAATGTTCCGCCATCCATTTACTCAAGCTCACTAGGTTGGTTATTCGTTGTTTTCAGTGTCTTTTTCTTCAATTGCCAGTCAATACGATAAACTACATCCACATCCTGGCTAAGACGATAAACTACATCCACATCCTCAGTAAGACGCAAACCGTGTCCTAGGTAAAACAAGAAACTACATCCGCGTTCTGGGTAAGACGATAAACCACATCCACATCCTGGGCAAGACGATAATCCGCGTCCCGTGTCCGTGTCCTGGGTAAAACAAGAAACTACATCCGCGTTCTGGGTAAGACGGTAAACATCCTGGGCAAGACGAGAAACTACATCCGCGTCCTCAGTAAGACGATAAACCGTGTCCTGGGTAAAACAAGAAACTACATCCGCGTTCTGGGCAAGACGATAAACCGCGTCCGACAGCAATCCGCGCTGGGCAAGACTGATCCGGAGGTTTCAGGAGGGAGCGTGGAACTACCTCTTAATTGCTGGTGTTCCCAGGTCCACCCTGACCCGGGGTGGTAGCACTTGTTAGAATCCCAGCTATGGGCAAATAGTTAAACCCAAAGCTGGGGTCAAAATTCTATGAAAGTGTAAAAATAGGTTTTAATACTAGCAATACATATTTCGAAAATAATATTACCAGCAATTCATTTTGAAAAAATACCAGCAATACGTTTTCGAGCAAAAAATTTATTACTAGCAATACATTATTACCAACAGTAAATTTTTGAAAAAGAAAAATATTACCAGCAATACATTTTGGGAAAAAAGTAACAGCAATAAATTTTTCAAAAAATTTTTAGATAGATAGATAGATAGATAGATATGAAAAGACTTTGATAGATAGATCAGAAAATTTAGATTGGCTCATGCTGTACTGTAATTAACACAAATCCTGTTATAAAAAAGTATCATGTCTTCTCTGTTTAACTAATCACGCTACTTTGTTTCGATGGTCCACCTTTATCCATCCTACCTACCTTCAATAAGTAGCCCTTCTCACACCTTATACGACTTTACAACATCCTTTTTATTAACCCTCTGCCTTTAGTGGCGTTTGGGTGTTAGATTGAATGAACAATAGTAAAAAAAAAGGTAGATAAGAATAAAATGTAGGTACTCTTTTCATAACTTCCTTAACTGAAAATAGTGATAGTAATTCATACTAATAAAAACGAAACATTACCAACTACTGAGAAATTGGTTAATTCTACATAGCAGCTTTTCTACTAAATAGTAAAAGACAACAAGACTAGCCTCTATAATCCTCACCCCACACCGAGGCACCAAAAAAAAACTATTTCAGTAGTTGTAATATTAAAAAAAATCGTTCGTGTAACAAGTCGTTGTAGAATTAATCAATCATATGAAGAGTTGACCGGCAAGTTTTTGATTAGAAGAGTAAAGGTAATTGCAGTAATGGAAGATATTGTCGTTGTTGATAACAAAAAACATTTTTTATATGTATCTTAATATTGATTAACCTTTGTTCAGGGATAATAATGGAGGTCGCGAATTAGTGTAGAGCATTTGTCCATCTAGAGAGGAGCGGCTTGTATTCCAAATCACTATTCAAAATTGCCATTGTACCTGACATAGAAAGATAAATGAAGAGACTGAGATAGATAGATAGATAGATAGAGAGAGAGAGAGAGAGAGAGAGAGAGAGAGAGAGAGAGATAGATAGATAGATAGATAGATAGATAGATAGATAGATAGATAGATAGATAGAGAGACTGAGATAGATAGAGAGAGAGACTGAGATAAATAGGCTGAGAGGGAGACATGAAGAGACTGAGATAAATAGATAGATAGAGAGATAGATGAAGTGACTGAGATAGATAGATAGATAGATAGATAGAGAGAGAGAGAGAGAGAGAGAGACTCAGATAGATAGATAGATAGATAGATAGATAGACTACGAAAAATAGATGGAGAGCTGAGATAGATAGATAGATAGATACAGAGAGAGAAAGAGAGAGAGACCGAGATAGATAGATAGATAGATAGATAGATAGATAGATAGATAGATAGATAGATAGATATAAACAGACTGATATACAGATAGATATAAGATACAAATTTTCGTGTGGCTCATGCTGTACTTTAATTAACAGAACTCCAGTTATAAAAATGGTTATCATGACTTTTCTATTTAACTAATCAGGCTACTTTGTCTGTAGCGTTCAATGCTTTCGTGACCAACTCATTCTTCGACAGAAAAGCACATTCGGAATTTACTAAATAAATAAGGAATCAGATTGTCGTGCCTCACCATGGAGCAATGAAAGATTTCGTTTCGTCATAAAACTAATGAATGCGCTTCAGAGATCATGTATGACATGACCTGTTCGCACAGAATATACGCCTCTGACGTGCGCATACACTCACACAAAGAGAAATATATGCATACATACATAAACACACCTGCATATATATACATACATATTAAAGACATTTTTATGTTTAACGTTCTTTTTTATAGATACATGTATTTAAGTAAATGATCTGTTTATAATAAACAGTATTAAATAACATTTACCGGCCTGAATACTTTATTATAAACAGAGCATTTACTTAAATACTTGTATCTATAAAAAAGAACGTTAAACATAAAAATGTCTTTAATAAATAAATTGTCGGACTTTGTCCATTTCTTAATATATACATACATATATATACATATGTGTGTCTGTGTGTGCGTGTGTGTGTATGTGTTATATTGCTCGTATCAACTCGTAATTCGGGTTTTGAAAGAAAACACTGAAACACAAGATTAGTCAAAGAACTGTTTAATTACGTGGATTAATATTACAATACTAGCGAATATCATAGTTAGTACGACACTCTTTGTGACTCCTCTGCGACGGCCTTGTGTCCCACTTGTGACTAATTCCATAGACAATAGAAGAGTCCAGGTTCAACAATATCTTTCCTTTCACCTTAGCCTATTCATCAAGACGTTTCTACGTCGCCATCGAGGCCTGTTTGTACAGTTGGTATGACGTCTGCGTTGTATCGAAACAGTCCGGGTTCGATTCTCAGGAGTGCAGTTTGTGCACTGCTGAGAAATCCCAAATAGGACGAAACAGCCGACTAGTGCATTTTGTTAAGGATTCTCCTAGATTCTATGAATATTCTAATTCCTCAAAATTTTATCATTTTATTTATTTATTTATTCACGTGTGTGTGAGTTATAGACAAATTGATTTCATTTCTAAACAAACCTCGGTCGGAAGAGTTGGATATTTAAATATATCCATGAAATAAATTATAACTGTTGTGGTAGGATCCACCTAATTTGCATAGTGGAGTACCGACCATATAAATATGGTTGGTACCGGGAAGAGAGGGAGGAATCAAGAGATTCAACCAGAGACTCTGCCCGACTGCGACTCAGTCAACACATTCTCCAGGAACGGTCTTACCAGGAATATACAAAAGACTATATGTAAATATTGTGTACACTTTCTTGTTTCAATACATTTTGTTCTAAGTACATTTTGTGTTGCATTATTATTCCATGCATTAGTCAAGTTTCAACAATAACCGTAGTGGATTTTTAGGGATTGTCTTTGCTTATTATTACTATATATATATATATATATATATATATATATATATATATATAGTATGGGAATAACAATTGGAAAAATCTTAGTTTTTATCGACGCGTTTCGTCTTCCGAGTTTATCAAGGCAAACAATGAAAGTGAAATGTTTTTCTTGTCATAGTTACATTAAATCCAAAATTTAAAAAATAATGGTGATATGTAAGTTCCACTTAAGCAGCTTATTCCCACGAGCCGTTGCCCTATGGATCTGACTCCCAAGATGATGCTTCCCCGATCAGTACAATTTTAACCTGTTCGTGTTTAGGGTAAGCCGTTATCTTCACAACATATCTGCATCAACTATGTCTCTTATTCTGTAATCCTTTACCTCGAGTGGCCCTCGTGCTGTGAACATCATTTTAAAAGAAAAGAACTCCCATTTCTCTAGTCAAGTAAATAATTGCTTCAGTCTGGTCAGATAAATAATTCCCATTTTGTTTCTTCGAGCGATTTTGATCATTTCTAAGTGGCACAAATTAAAATACCCTTTGAGCCCTGACCACCGCTTTACCGGTGGTAGAGAAAAATGACGTAATGTCCAGCTACCGGTTGAACGGTGGTAGAGAAAAATGACGTAATGTCCAGCTACCGGTTGAACGGTAGTAGAGAAAAATGACGTAATGTCCAGCTACCTGTTGAACAGTGGTAGAGAAAAATGACGTAATGTCCAGCCACCGGTTGAACGGTGGTAGAGAAAAATGCCGTAATGTCCAGCCACCGGTTGAACGGTGGTAGAGAAAAAGGACGTAATGTCCAGCTACCGGTTGAACAGTGGTAGAGAAAAATGACGTAATGTCCAGCTACCGGTTGAACGGTGGTAGAGAAAAATGACGTAATGTCCAGTTACCGGTTAAACGGTGGTAGAGAAAAATGACGTAATGTCCAGCTACCGGTTGAACGGTGGTAGAGAAAAATGACGTAATGTCCAGCTACCGGTTAAACGGTGGATAAACACTTGTAACTATTTTTATATCTACCATGAATCATTACATACCAATTATTTGCGAATTTTGACTCAGGAGCTCAGGCAGAAGGGTTAAAATTGTTCAGAAATACGGGGCTCAAAAGGGTTAAACTAGGTGATTATAAGTGCAATAGCTACATATTAGGCTACAGATTTATTGATCCATTCTCGCCTGCATATAACTTGTTTGAATACAGCCAAGTCATATAAATAATTGCCATTGATCTTTACGCTTTTCTGAATTGTTTTTCAAACAATTTTGTTAATTTTTGCTTCACACCCCTACGCCATAGTTGGCATTGTGTATTCATTATACGCTTTACGATTTAATTGTATTGGCAATACAACGTTTAATGATTGGCTGGAAATTATTTAGAAGAAATGGACACAATCGACGTACACACGAGTACATAGGGTAAACGTGTAGATATCTCCTCAATGATTCTAAACTCTCATGCACCGAGGCGTGGAGTAACATTTAGAAGCAGTGATTTTCTTCCTCATTTGGAACACCATACAATAAATTAAACAACCCAAAAGCATTGATATGTCGTAAAGTTAAGCAACCAACCAGCATTAAAACCTCTTCTGTAGTTTATAGCATTTCTGGGATATGACTTTTTCCATCGAATCAAGCGGCTTTCCCCTAGATTTTCAAATCAGTGCTACTTTTCTAATTACGGCTACATCACGTCGAAATACCGTTTCCCGCACGATCACAGAAGTTACGCAACGTCGATCCTGGTCAGTACCTAGATGGGTGACTGTTTGAGAATACCAGGCTTTTGTAAGCCTGGATGTGCGGGTGGTGTCATTGATAATGGTTCGGAATTGTTAATCGGAGACCCGAGTTCCAATTCTGGTCATGTTTATTATATTCATTTACGCACAAATACCCTTGGGTAAGATATGAATTCCCATCTTCTCTTAATTAGTAAGACTTGTATCATTAAATCATTATTTTCTCCCAAAATTTGTTTTTTTACATTCTAAACTTATTTTCTGGCTTTAAATAACATGAAAAAGGTTGATAAGTCGTCAAAAACAAACCAATCACTCAATCAAGCTTCTTATTATTATTATTATTGTTATTATTATTATTATTATAGTAGCAATATTAGTAGTATCGGAAGTAGTAGTATTTAATCAGATAATATGCAGTTTTCCCTTAAGTGTTCATCCCTTTCCGGATTATTCTTGCCAATTTTCGTTATCCGTGTCTCTGTACTTTCAATCCCCGTACAATGTGCCCCAATAATAATTGATATGTTTGTGATATTCAGTTTCCATAACCTGCAAGTTGAAACTTTAATGGGTCATATTTCGTCACATGTTTTCCTTCCTTTTTCCCTATTATTGTAACAAAAGGACACGATGGATCAATAATTAACCTTTCTTTTTCTATTTTATCTTCCAGCAATATGTCTCCATTATTATTATTGTTATTATTTTATTTCCTTTGATTTCTGGTGTGCACACATTTTTCCATGTCTCGCCAAGAGACCTAATGTTACAAATGACCTGTTGATACTCTTCGCGAGATCATTTCGTTCGTTTTCTTTTTATTATTTGATTTGGCATTGAGTCACTTCGTCCAAGGTTGGGAATAGTCCGTGTTTGGTGACCTAGTGTGTCTTCGTTTTTGGAAGAGTTTGTTCCAGTGACAGATTTTGCGACCCCAGAATTGTTTCTCTCTGAGGTCAGCGGCCGCCCATTTTTGACCCGTGTGACGTCTGATCGTGTATGAAATTTTATTCGTATTAATTGATATTCGTAGAATTTTGCGTTTTAACCATGACTGCCAAGGGGTAATTATATTCGTGTTACCAGCTCTACGACAGCACTCAAAGAAGACCTGAGGACACGTCCAGAAGAATATAAAAAGAACGTATAAACATAAAAATGTTTTAATATATATATATATATATTTATTAAAGACATTTTTATGTTTAACGTTCTTTTTTTTTATAGATACAAGTATTTAAGTAAATGCTCTGTTTATAATAAACAGTATTAAATAACATTTACCGGCCTGAATGTCCGAGAAATTTTTCATAGAAAATATTCGTCCTTTGACATTCAGGCCGGTAAATGTTATTTAATACTGTTTGTTATAAACAGAGAATTTACTTAAATACTTGTATCTATAAAAAAAAAAAAAAAGAACGTTAAACATAAAAATGTCTTTAATAAATAAATTGTCGGACTTTGTCCATTTCTTAATATATATATATATATATATATATATATATATATATAGTAAAACCTAATATCAGTTCATATGAGGAACAGCCTATTTGGGCAGATGAAGATATCAGTCGTCTGTCTTATCAACCACCATTTTGGATTTTATTCTTTATTATTTTCTCTATAATAATAAATACATTGAGCTGTTTTTGTTGATCAGTTCTAATATTTCTTATTACTAGGATTAACTTGGATTATATACCAACCGATGTGTTACCTTTACTATATATATATATATATAGATAGATAGATAGATAGATAGATAGATAGATAGATAGATAGATAGATAGATAGATAGATGTACTACAGCGAAAATACATCTGTGTCCTTAAACGCAGTCTAGTAAATGATATCCATTCTATCACTATTTGGCCTCATTAGTTGTCGAACTGAATAGACTTGTTGATGCAAGTTAACACGAGTCAGCTTTCTTAAAATAGCCCTGGCATAGACACAAATGCATCTTGTTTTTGCTTCCATCAGTATGACCTTCGCTGCATCTAATCCCCGGCCTGAACTTTTGAGTGCTGAGCAAATATTTGTATCGAGAGACGACTGAATATTTGAGAAATGATCGTCTCTTGGACTATAGTGGACGCATTATGTAAAACCGTGTCATGGGGAACAGCTTGGCTTAGTCAACAGTTCTAAATAAACAAACAAGATGGCATCGAATAGCTACCTGGCTTAAAGTATTTTAAAGGAAATAACAACTGTTATTTGAAATAATGTCGCATTTAAGAATATAAATATTGAAATGTTTACAAAAATTTTATTGAGTAATCCACTTCGAAAAGGCTGTTGACAATGACAAATCTTTGCAAAGCACCAAGACAGAGGAAAATATTATTAGAAGCGAAAGGAAAGAGATAAACTTCTTTTATTAATGTCTAATATCCTATATAACAACGAACACTGGACAATCTCGTCACAGATGAAGAAAAAAGAAACGTAAAGCGATAGAAATGAGCTTTTATAGGCGAATGCTAAGAATAGCAGGGACAGAACATGTCTTAAGCAAAGTAGGAGCAGCAAGGAAACGTATACTTACAATCAGAAAGAGACTTTTGAATTTATATGACACATAACAAGGACAGACGGCATAGAGAACTTAAAACTCACAGGGCATACTAACGGTAAATGAAACGGGAAACCAGCAAGTACGTATTTAATGAGTTTGTTGGGGTCAGAATAAGGACAAAGAAGGATTGAAAAGAGGCAAATATTACTTAGAGCAACAAAAGAAAGGAAGTTGTGGAGGACCATAGCGCATAACTTCAAAGAACTTGACACAAAGAAGTGTGATTTAACTGTTATAGTGTTCAGCTTATTTTTATTTGTTTTATATGGATTTTTAATATTGAATAAATAAACGCCAACAGGAAATAGCGAGTAATCTATTTAATTAGCTATAAGAATAGGAAATCACGGAGAGCCGTGATCGCCTACATTCTGAGGGGATACGGCACATGGAA